AGAAAAGAAAAAGATTTGTGTAACATATATTCGGACTATACAAGACATGTATGAGAGGGTAATTACATGTGTAAGAACTTTTAGAGGCGTATCTAACGACTTCCTAATTGGAATATGTTTACATCAAGACTCCTCTTTGAGCCCTTCTTGTTTAATCTAATCTTAAATGTGCTTAAGTGTGACATACAAAATATTATTCCTTAATGCATGCTTTTTGCAGATGATATAGTGTTAGTTGATAATTCGAAAAATAAGGTTAATGCTAAACTTGAGTTATAGAGGGAGACTTTAGAATCTAAGTGTTTATGCTTAAGTAGAAGTACAATAGAGTATATGCATTGTAGGTTTTATCAAAAAACAAAATGAAAATCATGCGTTGGAAGTTAAAATTGGAGATGATATTATATCACATGTTTCCAGTTTTAGGTACTTGGAATCGATTATACATAATGATAAGAAAATTAATGAAGATTTTGCTCACAGAAAACAAATTGGGTAGTTAAAGTAGAGAAAAACATCATAAGTTATTTGTGATCGTAAAATACCTATAAAGCTGAAGAAAAATTTCACTACCAGTTATCTTATATGGTAGTGAATACTGGACCGTAAAAGAACAACACAAAAAGAAAGTAAGAGTGACAGAAAAAAAAATGCTAAGATGGATGAGTTAACACATGAGAAATAACAAGATACGGAATAATAGTATAACGAATGTTAGAGTAACACCTATAGTGGAAAAGATGATTGACAATCATCTAAGGTGGTCAGTCATATGCAAAGAAGACCTCTTTAGAGGCACCAGTAAAGAGTGTAGATTGCATGACTCTTAATTCGAAAAAAAAGAGTCGAGAGAGACCCCAAAACAATCTTAGATGAAGTTATTAAAAGAGACCTTTTAATTAACTAAATTTATGAAAAATTGGTTTTCCACTGAGTTCAATGATGTCGTATGATTTATGTAACCAATCTCACCTAGTAAGATAAAACTTAGTTGTTGTTGTATAATAAAAGTATGACATAATATTGACTTTTATATTTATATATATATATATATATGTTGATGAGCATGAAGCATTAAAAATGGTAAATAACAATTAATGTAATTGTTAGTGTAACAATAGTTACAAATAAGAGTTAAGTGAAAGATTGTACCATACAATAGCACTGCATTGTTTGCTAATTTGTTATTAAATAAAAGTATAAATTAAAAATGTTCTAATGTACTTCCTACTATATGTTATTTGAAATTTAATTTCATCTTACTTTTTTATATGTTGTACTATTTGTACTTGATGATTGGTACAGACAAAGCTACTGATAGCACATCTACCATTCCCCTTTAGGGTAACAATGCATTTCAACTTAGCAAGACAATGGATCGACAATTGCATACTTACAAGCGTCATTACATTCTTATTAGACAAATATGGGTTCGGTGAACAAGCTCCAGTCATTCCCATCTCTATCACCGTGAGATATAACACCTCACCGCCTCCACATCTTGGCTTTGAGGCAATTCCACTTACAGAACAACTAATTCCTCCTCCATACCTACCCCTTAACCTATTCTTCCAGATGTCTCTTTGCTATTGTAGAATAATAAATTGTCATTTTATTACCTTATCTATCAGATTTAACTTATTTTTTCGTTAGATTTTTTATTTTACTTTTTGAATTGGCTAAATTTCTTTTGATTTTATTGTAAAAAGAAGCAACAATGCAACTTGATTAAAATGAATTATGAAGAAAAATTGTTGTAATAAGTAATGAATGAATTTTGTATCTTAATTTTAAATTTGGATTTTAAATATTGAAAAAAGATTTTAATTTTTAATTTAGATCGGATTTGGATTTTAAATTTTGAAATTTATATTTTATCTTTTTTTAAGATTTTAAGAACCAGCGTCAGACAACATACAATTAAGGATTTTGGAGGCAGGCTATATCTTTTAAATTCTATACTATATAAAAAGAGGTTTTAATTTCTATGGTAAAGAGACAGTAAACCTATCATCCTCTTTATACGCTAAAACCTTAAACCTTCTATCATAAGTTCATCTCCGTCTTTCATTCTCTGTTATAGAGTTATGCTTTTGTCCAGACAGATCAATCACGATAGTTTTTCTTTTTTTATTATTTTTACTTATGAATGTTGTGTTTAATTATCTTTATAATTATGTATAACTAAATACCTCTTGTTATGGAGTATGAGTGAATTCTTTTGATATAACTCCTTTTAAACTCATATTGACTTTATGCAATTGTTGTTAGTTGATAATTGAAATTATCTATTTGTTATTACATTCTTGAATTGATCACTAAAAAATTAATCTTAATTAACTAATTAATAAACAATCATATCATTAAAAGGTTAATAGAACTAAAAGGTAATTTGAGTTCAAGAGTTAAAAGAATCAATTTATTGCCTAGGCTCTCAATAAATTAATTGAATTTAACAAATCTAATATTTCTCAATATTCTTATTTATTTGTTGCTAAATATGATCATTAAGGTAATATATAAATAAGAAAACTATTATTATTGCATAATCATTGGATAATGGTAATAACTTATTAGATTATTGATAATTTCTCTAACACAATTGAATAGAATTTAATTGAGGAAGTATATAGGTAATTATAATGAAAAATCAAAGCCTCAAACTTTTATTGATATCAAATCAACTTTGTAATTTTTCTATTTTCATTTTAATTTTAGATTTTATTTTAATTCAAATATTCTTAGCATGTAATTTGCTTAATCTTGACCTTATTAAACACTAAATTTTCCTATCGAGCTTAATACATGTGAATAAGAAGTTAAGTCTTACTTGCCTGTTGAATATGTATATTACTTAGGTTCCTTTAAATACGATTTGATACATTCCTACACTGGTGTCATTATCTTATTAGATAACCATTTCCATCTCTATCAGCATGAGACATACTACCACACCACCTTCAAATCTACATGTATTAGGACCTTTGCCCCACATTTTTGCTTTGAGGCAATCCCACCTATAGGACAATTTATTCTTCCTCCAATACCAGCCCCTTAACCTATTCCCCCACTTGTTCCTCCATGTCTTGCTATTGTAGAGATTTCTACTTCTGATTGTCCTTACTAAATTGACCCAACTTCCCATAGATCTTTTAGTTCTTTCGCCTCTACTAGGCAAAAGAAACCAATTGATTAAGCTAGTCCTTGACCACTTCCTAAGTGTAGTCATGGGTTAGGTCTAGGCGCTAAAGGAAAGAAAGGTGAGATTTGATTTTTACTTATTGTATCTGACATCTTTTTTGGAAATTTATGAACTCTCGAACCATTATGGTTAGAACTGATGCATAGTCATAGGTTTTAATTTGTTGTTTATATTTATTTTGTTATTATGTACTACAATACAATTAGCTATCTTATATGGTAGTGAATATTAAGTCTTAAGAGAATAACACGAAAAAAAAAGTGAGAGCAGTAGAAATGAGAATGCTAAAGTAAATGAGTAGACACATGAAAAAAGAAAGAATAACAAATGATAATATATAAGAAAATATTAGAGTAATATAATGAAAAATATGATTAAAAATTATTTAAGGTGGTTTGGTCATGTGCAGAAAAGATTTTGAAAGGTGCCAATAAAAAAAGTGAATTGCATTATTCTTAGTCCAATAAAAAAGAGTCAAAAGAATTTTAAACAAAATTATTAAAAAAAATATTTAATTTATAATTGAGTTTAATGATATTAAAAAATCTATGTAGCTCACTTCGATATGAGATAAGACTTAGTTGTTATTGTATTTATTTTGATATTAAATTTTAAAATTTGCTTATAATGTACATTGTAAAATATATATATATGATACTTTTGTTATGTGGTATGTTAAATTAATTATAAATAAATTAATATTAACTATTTTAATAATAATTAAGTATATAATAAAAATGTTACACTTCAGTTTTTAAATAGTATTATTATTTTTCTAATTTAATTTATTACATTGAATTAATTAAATATACAATATTAGTAATGACAGTTATTAACCATTCATGCTTGCATAATTTATTTATGTATTTTAACTTATCACTAATGAAAGAGAATCTAATTTCAGCATTTAATTTTTCTTTCATTTTCTCCTTATTTTTTTATTTTATAAAATATTAACTTTTTATTTGTCTATTGAGACTCAATTTGAATTTTTTTCATAATACAGAACTAATTTTATTTGAATTTAAAACATTCAAAATTTTGAATGAGGATGAATTGTAAAAATATTAATTAGTCTTGAATTTATTTTTTTTAGTAAACATCTTAATATTAATGACTTTAATTTATTTTCAAAATTTAGAAAAAGCAAGTGCTAAGAAAAGAAACTAATACTTCAATAAAAGTATTAAATTATATATGAGAAATTGTCTAATTATTTATATTTTTTTGTAGAATTAATGATAATACTCATAACAATTATTACTGCTACAAGAAAGTTTTCAAATTTAAAATTACATAAATTGTATCCTATATTAAGAATCTTACAAGTAGATTCAATGATTAATTATATTATCTATTAAGAATAAAATATTAAAATTACTTATAATAAAACTTCCTTAATAATATTTTTTTTATATTTTTATCGAAAGATTTGAATCCATATCTTCATGAAATACGAAACTAATCTTCATAAAAATATGTTACACTAATTCCCTATAATAATTTTGCTTCAAGCACTCAAAATTCTAGAAACGGCATGCAATAAAATTTTTCTTTTAGAAACATGGTATTGTAAGAATGTATTTTCTTATTTGTTGGAATAAGTATCCGTTCATATATACAAAACACATGTATATGTTTAAAAATTATGTATAAATAAATTGTTTTCATAATTAAAATTTTATTAATTATTTATTAATTAAATTTAAATATACTCTAATAAAATAAACTCCCATGTATCTTGTAGGTTCATATCTAGCTTAATTTCAAAGCAAGCAAAATCTAACTTCAAATTTACCTGGAATACATCATGAAAAAAATCGAAATGTTGCTAGCCTCACTGAGTGCTACCCTCCAACTCCTTAATTTGTCTTTCTCCACCAACATTCTTTTAACAAATTCTTCAAAAGATTCTCCAAACATGCCTTTCTGATTTTGAACATCGGAAGGATCGACATCGTAAAACACAGGCACAACCGCTTGACTTTTGGTTCTGTGACACTCCATTATTTTCTCTAACGCTTCCAAACACCACATCGAATCAGCATAATATCTTGAGAAAACGATGATAAAAATTCTGGAAGCTTCGATTGCACGCAGCACTGAGGGTGGCATCAGATCTCCGCTTATAAGCTTGTCACGGTCGTTGAAAACAGAAACTCTAGCCTTCGTAAGAGCGTTATAGAGACGTGAAGCAAAAGATTCAGTGTCTTTGCCACAGAAATTGATGAACACATCGTGAGTCATGTTTGGATAAGGATTAGATCTGGATTCAGGTTCCATGTTTACAGAGGTGAAACTTAAGAAAGAGATGCCAAAGGAACTAAGGAGTGAGGATGAGACCGAAACATTTTAGTCAAAAGCTAGGAATTTCGATTCTTGCAATCGGAAAAATGAAGAATGGATGTGCACGTCAACTTTTACTGTTCATTATTTTTAATTATATTTTTTATTAATATTTTATTTTTAAAAAAATATATCAGTAGCTGAACTGCAAAAGAAGATTGGTTGCAGTGGATTCGAATATATAAAGTGGTTTTAAAAGGTAGAATAAGCACCGATCACTGTCCTGTCTTGTCTGTCGAAAATATCAAATTTGATGTTTGAATTCATTCAATGAATATATCATATAAGACGTATTTATGGTTATACATTTTCATTTAATGGATATTAAGAAGCACAATTTTTACAGAGGGCTCATTTTTTTTACTTTAAAATATAAGAAATATAGAATTTTTTGAAATATTATATGAATTTTTTTTTTATAGTTGTCAATGACGTTTTTATGTGTAAAAATTGTCAATAAAAAAAAAAACTTGCCCATAGTGAGATTTAAAACTAAATAAATAAATTTAGGGTATGAAAAATTACTATTGACAAGTTTATTAAAAATTGCTAACTAAAATTATTATTGGCAGTTTTTTAAGGTTAAAAAATAATAAAGTTTAAAAACTATTCATTTACAATTTTTGGATGATATAAAATAATTAAAAATTCTTAAAAGTCACTATTGACACTTTTTTAATGTATGTATTTATAAATATTAAGTTCTTTATTATTTGTAAATTATAAGTGAGGTGAAAAAAGAGTTTTAAACATAGGGTGAGTATGGAGATAAATATGAGTATGTTGCTATTGATATACTTTATTGTCAAGATTATTACAAACACTCGTAAATGTGTATTATTTAAGTGTAAAAAGTCACATTGAGTGTATATGAGAGAAAATATATCATTTGAAACACCGAAGTTAGCTTACTTAAAATATTGAATTTGAATTTCTAAAGATATATGAAAAGTATTATTTATAAATGTCTGATATCTATGTTTGGCAATTCCATGTAATATTATATTGCTCTAATAACAAAAAATGTTAATATTCTATAAATGTTTTAAATACATCAACAATATCATCCTTCAACCTTCACCATTATATTGTATGTTATTTTCAAAGAAACTGCAGTTAATATAGATGACAAAGCATATGTATGCACTGTACCAAACAGAGAGGTAGAATAGGAACAAAACACATTGAAAGAATCAAGAATGAGTCTAAAGGAGAATATGGAAGCGTTGACCTTAGTAAAATGAGGATGTGAATGATGATGATGGTGATGGTGATGGTAATGATGAAGAGGCCATTTGTCAAACACAATAGTTGAGTAACATCTGTAACGCCCCAAATTTTACAATATTAATTATTGTTATATATATATATATATGTGTATGTGTGTGTAAGTGTAAATGGATGTTAAAATTTTACATTAGATACGTAATGATGGTGTTTTGTGTGTAATGAGTATGAATACATGTACATATATGTATGTTGTGGATGTGTGTATATATATATATGTGTGTGTGTGTGTGTGTGTGTATGCATGACTGGATAGGGATGAAATGGGCTAAGTGCCTAAGCGCCTAAGTGCAGGGCGTGATATTGGGTTGTTCTCGCTGTAGCAAGAGGACCCTGGGAGGAAAGACCAAAATTGTCGCCTTCTCGCTGTAGCGAAAGACGTCTTGTTGTAGCGACAGTTTGGGAAGCATTTCTGGGTGTAGTCTCGCAGTAGCGAGATTCTGCAGAAATCAAGGTGCAATTTTATCTGATATTTTTGCTGCAGCGAGAGGACATGTCGTTGTAGCGAGAATGTCTCGCTGTAGCGAGAGTGTCGCGACCAGAGAAGGATTTAAAGGGGGTTAGGGTTCAGGGAGGGTTATTTCTCCCTCTCCCTTCGAAATCCCTTGGATTCTCTCATTCTCAAACCCTTTTTCACCAATTAAATTGCCTCCAAAGCCTTTCGTGAACTTAATTGAGGGTTGAATTCATGTGAAGAACGTTTGGAGGTGAGTTTTAATGGTTAGAGTTCCGTTTCTAATCCCTTTTTCTCTATTTCTGGGTTTCTTTGGGTTCTCATGGAGTTTCTCCATGTGTTTAGGATGAAATTCATGAGAGGGAAGCACTTCTTGGTGGTTTTAGCGTGTGGGTCTTCAATCCAAGGTAAGGGGGGACTCTATCCTACTCTTTTGTGCATGAATTGCTGATATTTTGCTAAATATTGTGTTGTGGCTGAGTTAGTGGGTAGGAAATTGCTGAGAAATGTAATGTGAGTCATGTGCTGTGATATGTGAACATTATGTGTGTTGATATGAAATTGTTGGATGTGGATTGTATGTAAATGTTGTGTGATAGAATGAGTATGGGCACTTGTGCCGTATATTTGAATGAATATTGTGAAAATGTGGGCCCAAGTACCGTGTAATATGAACGATAATTGTAGGCTGCGTGCTGTGTGCTGTGAAATGGAATGTGGGTTGTGTGCCGTGTGTAAGCATTATTACTGCATGCGTGAATAGAATATGTGTGAATGGGCGTGTTAGTGCCGTTGTAATGTACTGTGAATGGTTCAGCGATATACTGGGAGTGTGGAAGATAAGGACGATAGAAATACCTTAGGAAAGAGGGAGTGGTGGTGACACCGACTGCGGAACGGATGCACCACGGGCCACACACTCTCTTCCTGACTAGACCTCTGACGACAATCTTTGCTGAGCGACCCGTGACTGCCCACGTGGTATCCGTGAGGCGGGGGTAACCGACGACTATTCATAGTGTAAATCTGTGATCACAGTGCCGCAGTGAGTGTGGCTAGCGTGCATACGCATAGGTTTGTGTATTGTACCTATAAATGTGAAATACTGCCGATGTCGTGAGTGTATCGGTGTTGAATTGACATGAGCTGTGTGACCATGCTGCCTGTGATTGTGTTTGTTTAATATAGTGGAAATGTGCTAGAGGTGAGACTTTATGTTGACTGGGTGTTTTCGGGTAGTGTAGAGTACTCACCCTTACATTCATTTTTCAGGTAATCAAGACGATCAGCACTGGACTTTGTGAAGGGGTGGATGGAACTGCTATAAGACTTAGAATATTATTTTGAAAATAGTTGTATTTGAATAAGTTCTGTAGCAACTGTTTGATGAAATTGCAACCCCCTTTCTTTATTTTGAAATGTTAGACGAAACTTGGATTAGAAATGGAAATTTTATTATTTCAAAATTTTCTAAAAAATTATTATTTACTGAAATTAAATTTAAGGTGTTACAACATCTATTTGGGGAGTCACTATTCATGCGTTTGTTAGATCTTGATACTGTGCATGCATTTGAGTTTTTAGAATATACAAACTTAAGTGTGTGTTATTTTTAATTATGTTGCTGATCAATTAAATTTAGTTTTTAATTAATTTATGTTCGTGTTTACATTTGATAGGTCATTATGATGTAGATGGAGATTTGTATGTTTGTTAGGTGGGCAAGTGTACTTATTGAAAAATAATATAAAATTTTAAAATAAGTCCCAAAATTATCGTTCCATAAAGATTGGTCTCCAATTACTAAGAATTTTTTTATCTAATTGTTTGAACTTAACAAATGCATAATCAAATATCGGAATTAAAGATTTAAAACAAATATTACCATATCTCAAAGCAAGTATCACAACACACGCTTTAAAAACTTATAGAAGAAGAACCTAGAGCATAGGGGTTTACTCATTCAGTCCTTTATATTCTCTTTCTAATTAACTTTAGATTTGATTTCCTTGTGACTATCAATCATTTATACAATTGCTATCAATACCCAATGATCATGCAAAATTAATATTCTTTTCTCTAAATTAACATCCTCAGTGGTCATGCAAGACATTAATTAAAGAAAGCGTAAAGAACCTATGAACTTGTTAATCTAATAACGACTGGTAAAGAAAAATTGGTTTGGTGCAACTAATCATTTGTCTCATTTTATCCTACAGATCCATTAAGTAATTGAGATAGATTGCCTAAAGATGAAATTAATTATAGTTATATTACGAGTGGCCAATTCACACACACAATCAAGCACAGTAGGATAAACACTAATCACAAACGAAAATCAAACCTAGATTTAATCATCAAAATTTCATAAATTCATGAACAATGATTCCCATAGTCTGAGCTATGGATTTAGCTACTCATGTTGAAAAAGGAAACTAAAGCAATTGTAAACAAAGCCATAAGCAAAGATGAAAAACAAATTAGAAGAAAGATCTCGTTCTTCAAGTCCTATCGCTTGAAACTCCAAGTCCCATCAAGAATGTGCCAAAGATCCTGTGCAGAAGAGATGAAGTAGTCACATAGAAACTCAGAAGTAAAGTCTAAAAAGTGGATGCTCAATCGCTGCCCCAATTCCTTCTTTTATAGGGTTTTTAAGCCTCTAAATTATGTTGAAAGTGTGATTTACTTAGGTGAGCACGACTGTGCCAGATGAATGCATAACCGTGCTTATACTAGAAACATGGGCATGCTTATTCACATCACGTTCGTGCATGCTATCAAAGCATTGGCATGCTGATAAGAGAGGAATGAGTGTGCTTTTATCCTTAATGGCCTAATTCTCTTGAAATTGCACCTAAAATATCCATAAGTCATTTGAATCTTTACGCATGTTCATCTACAACAATTAACAGAGTGATTAGTGTAAAAATATATTCAAATTAATATAACTGCATATAAACATGCTAGAAAAGTATGTCAAAATACTGACTTATCAATGTTAGAAAGCAATTCAGTAATAGAAAAACTATTATACGAATAATTAAGTGTTACAGTATATCAAACAGAGTGGACTACAAAGTGATAGAATTAGAACTAAATATGTTTTATTATAAGTACTTGAAGTATGGAATAGATTGCAGATGGCTTCTTCGTGCTACTTTTAAAAAGAACAAGTCTAT